AACCATCCAATATTTTTCTTTTTCCTTCTGGCTTATTTCACTGCACATAATTCCTTCTAGCTCCATCCATGTTGCTGCGAATGGCATGAGTTTATCTTTTTTGATCTCTGAGTAATATTCCATTTTGTATATATATACCAAGTCTGTGAAGCTGAAATACTGGAATACGATTTAGATCATTCTTGAGAGAGACAACCTGCTAGAGTTGTATGGACAGGATAGATTTTTATTAGTGACAGGGTGACAAATAGCAGGACATGCATTTCAAAGATTTGATCTGGGCTGGACTGCCACCCTGGATCCCCCAAATTATACATGGAAAGCTTGTCTAATTTATCCAGACAAGATGGAATCCTCACCCTGCTTGACTAGGTGAGGACTGCCTTTTAGTTTTTGCCCTTCTAATCTTACTGGTTCGCTTGTTTTTCAGTCTTTGCTTGACTAGGAAATCTCCTGCTTTGCATCTTTATAGGGTCAGGGTTATTCCACTTGAAGCTTGCTGTAGAACTGAGTCAACAAAAAATTGTGTGTGGAACCTAACAAATTGTCACACAACAATCATGTTAGCCAGAAAGAATAAGAGCAAACTTTGAAAGAATGTTTTGGTTCCGTGTGTGTGTGTGTGTGTGTGTATGTGTGTGTGTGTATGTGTGTGTGTAGTGTGGAGGTTGGTGGAATATGCCGTGAGAAATGTGTCTAGGAGTGACTGCCTCTCCCATCATATTTTTAGTAAAGCTGCCCATAATCAGGATTTTCATAGAATAAAAAGATCTAATGAATTTTGGAAATCTGTCCTGTTTCTGTATCCGTGACCATGGTAACAAGATTTCTTAGGATTGTAGATTTTTAGGAAAGCAAATTTTGGATGGTTTGTTAACAAATATTGCAGATGGAGAGTAGAAACAACTGTCATTTTGTAATACGACCTTCAATGTGCAAATGAATGGATGTGTCCTTACATGTCCTTTTGTATGAAAACCATTTAACCTAAGTATATCTGGTCACCATAACCATGAACTGTTCTGCCTTACAGAAGATTAAAGGATACCATATTAACATCAGGGGAGGGAGAGCCCTCTAGTGGAAATCACCAAGCAGACAGTGTCACCGCAAAGAAAGCCATAAAGTCAGAGAAGGAATGTGAGATTTAGTCCAGAGAATTGAACTGCATCATGTAAATGTGATGTGACTCTTCGCATCCTCCTGCTGATTTGGAAGCTATTGATCAACCATTCAGTCATGTGGAATCTCAAGAATATATTGAGGGCTATGCTAAGTAGATACTAAGATGAAAATCAATATTCCAAGGACATGAAATGTTCTTCGTAGCCTCACCAGAAAAGCCTGGAATGGGCAAGGTCAGGGAGTGGGGATGCATTTTGGCAATAAATAAAAAAGTTGTGTCTTAATTAGATACGATGACCACCACCCACTGCTCCCAGGGATCATAACAGATGGATTTGCTCACCATTCTATTTGCTTCTTTAAACAGAAAAATGCCATTTTAACCCTCATCTTCTGCAAGGTTAGCCCCGATTTAGACTTTGACTATCATAATTCACTGTGCTATTTATCTTGTAACTAGGAAGATTATAAAGCACTTTCCCTCCCACAAATCCCTGGATATCAAACATGCTAGATTTTTACAAAAAATTCATACCCTCTTGGTTATATTTCTGTTGGTCCCTTATTCCTGTCATTAATTATTTATAAATAAAATGAGAGGAGACTTTAATAATCTGAAAACTTACAGCTTAAGATGAGTTATTGATATTAATGGCTTACACAGTCTTCTTAAAACATGCAGTATAGGAAATCCCTGGGTATACACTAAAAACACAGATGTAACATTAGGGTCAGGGCTCTTGCTCATAGTTCTGTTGTTGACTCTCATCCATGAGCCCTTCCAGGGGGTTGAAAAGCATGTTTCCAGACAATAGAAATCTGATGTTGAAGCTTGTACCCTTCCAAGCTTGTGTAACATGCACCACCAGTCCCGTAGAGTCAGCCAGTGAAAATGCACACTCAGCTAAAACCACAATTCCCTTTGTTTCTAGTCTGTGACTGTCTAGTCAGCAAACCTGGTTTATCATTTTCTCAACAGAAATGGCTGTAGCGTGGGTTGTAAACCTTCTATACTTCAAGGACTATCTAAGGTTTCATATCTTCTTTGCAGTCTGTTCAGCCTGGCAAATATGGCCATTTCTGAACTCCCAGAGGTCTCCCTCCTTGTGGGACTCACATGGACATTCAGTCAAATGCTGCATTGTATAAGTGGCTTCACTCTTTGCATGTATGTCCTGTCCCGCAGGACACACACATGCTTTTGAGGACAAGACCAGTGCACTGTACATTCTGGGTCTAGTTCAGCCATTCATTGTTCACTCACTCATTCACTCACCCAGGAAATAGTTACTAAATCTATCTGAGTGTCACTGCACAAGGGGAAGGGACCCAGAGGTCCCTTAGTCCAATTCCATCCCCAACCCGGACAGTAGATAAGCTGGTAATGAACCAGCCACTCTACGCTGCCCCACATGCTAGGAACCAAGGGGCTCTCCTCCCAAAGCCAGGAGAGAGCTCTTGAGACTCTGATCTAGATTGAAAAGAGGACCTTACAGACACCGCAGGGAGGGCAGACAAGGAGTTGGTGTTTACTAATCAGTAAAACAACAAGGAAAGAACTCCAGGGAGACCTCTCTGGTTATAAGAGACTCTCTGAGTTGCCAGAATGAGAGGTCTTTATAGGTTTTAGGGCTTGGATTTGAGAAGAGAGGAATTAAACTTTTTGCCCGAGAAAGCAAGGAACATGCGCTTGGTCCAAAGTCCATTTGTTCATCCGAGTGTGGTCCATTCGTTGTTGCTAATTGTGGGCACCCATCAGCTGTGACTTGGAGGCTGTGTGGCGCCCAGCACCATGTCACAGGGGATGTGCATTATGTATGCCCTCAGCCCCAGTGTGAACTGGCCTGATCTCAGGGTCCGTCATTCCCTTCTGTGGCAGTCAGGGGACTCGATAGGCTATGAGGAGATAGCTCAGGAATGCACAGTCTCAGGGGAAAAAATAGCAATAAAAACAATGAGCCAGGGCCTCCCCGGTGGCGCAGCAGTTGAGCGCTGGGTTGTGGGGCTACCCGCAGCCTCTGCAGTGCCAGTTTGACCCCCGGCCGCTGGGCAAAGGTCCCACATGGCACGCGGACCTCTCCTGCAGCCCGCTGCTCCCGTCAGCAGTGTACTTCATCCGTCTGCCTGTTCTGCTCCCTGCTCTGGCTCTGGTGAATTCTCTCACCCTCCTGAGCTTCTGACTGTACCCAGTGCTTGTATAAATAAATAAATAAATAAATAAATTAAATAAATAAATAAATAAATAAATAAATAAATAAATCCTTTAAAAAAAAACAAAAAACAATGAGCCAAAGAGATTTAAGGCAGCAGGTGTCTGGGCTTAGAGTTATCATATCTGTTAACCTCATGTTTACCAACTTAGCCCATAGGAACAGCAAAGTTCTGTCCTTGTCCTGGGACCCTTCCCTTCCTGTCTCATGGAGACATGTCCTGCTCTACTCTCTGGAGGTATATTATTAGTGAGCAGAACCTACAGGACTCTTTATGATAAAGAGAAATGTAGGCTGATAAACCTTAACCTCATAACCACAGGTAAGAATTTTCCACAATGGAAAATTATGCCTTGTACTGAAAACTACAAAGGAAAAGAGAATATCGTGTCCCAAGGGAGACCAGTGGGTGTTGTTATTTAGATTTGGGTTTAGCAAAGGCCTTCAAAGCGATGATGTTTAAGCTGAAAACACCTGGTATTCCCTATACAGCAGGTGCTAGGAAGTATTTCTTGCCATGAGAAATGTTTATCCAGCTCTCAGATCATGTAGTATAAACCTACATGATAAGGATCCTTCTGGTTGTGTCTTCCAGTGCAAGCCCATCCCTCTTCTTATTTGCCACCAACTCAGATGTTCTGTCTGGTGCTCCCTACTTCTGATAATGAATGGGGACAAGTGTCGGCTCAAGTTATAATGAAAGTGAAGCATTTGGACTTCTGTGCTGCTTACAGAGTTAGGACAAAGATTAGTCTCGACTGCATGGATGGCGTATTTTAGTAGTCCATGGACTACTTATTTTGGCCATAGCACATTGCTTCAAAGTGAGAAAGCATGCAGCCTTTGGAACTGAGCAATTGAATCTGGGTTTGAACCTAGTATTGTGATCTTGAGCAATTTCAGTCTCCGTTTCCTCATCTGTAAAAATCAGGGCAAGCTCACAAAGTTTCATGAGCATTAATGTAACACACCCAGGCACAGAGGCTAGGCAGTCATTAAATTTCTGACCTTCCTTCCCCACCCCCAGTTTTCTGATCTCTCTGGGCTCCAGTTTCCTTTGAACCTCCCAGTTCAGTTCTCTGCTCTATGTTTGCATGATCACTACCCCTCCCTTTAAACCAGTTCCTGCAGGCTGAATCTGCTTCAGTTATAAGACAGCAGGGAGGATATGAGAACTGGGGTCTGAGCCCCACTTAGAGCCACTCAGGAGGATAGCGCAGAGCATGACAGGGCAACATTACCAACTCCTGTCATCAAACTGGGGGCAGCAAAGGATGTGGTCCAAGAGGGGACCTGGGGACACCAGGAAGGGTGATGGTTCAGAACTGGAACAAGAGTCAGGACAGACAGAAGTCCTGTCTCGTAGGTGGTGAGGACAGTGCAGAAAGGGGCTGTGATTCAGGGCACTTTAAGACTGGAAGGCTGAGCACAGCAGAGAGCCCATTCTAGGTCCCTAGGGAGACAGTTGTGAGCAGGGAGGAAGTAAGTCTCCAAGACTGGTGGGCAAGTCACTCACTGGTCAGATCAACCTGAGGAACTGTGCTGGGAGGCTGACAAGGAAGAGGAAGAGCATGGGAGAACTTTACAGCAGACAGAAGTTTTGGCTTATCTGCAAATTATTATCAATTATGCCATTATAATCAAATTCCTCTGCTTCCCTTACAGCTAAGTGCAGATCCTCCCAGCTTGAGGAAGGTAGATCCCAAAGGTCGGAGTGCACTGTTGGCCGACATCCAGCAAGGAACTCGCCTACGCAAAGTCACGCAGATCAATGACCGCAGTGCCCCACAAATCGAGAGTAAGTGAGCAGCCAGATCAGCCTGCTGTGAGCCAAGTCCAGGCTGCCTGAGGCTCAGCCAGATATCCCAGCTTGCTCAGGGCAGGAGCCACGCTACTACCCAGAAAACACAGCAGGCCCTCTCAGACCTGCTTAATGTCCGGTCCACATGGGTGAGCAAGTCAGGGGCTTCCTGTCTGGTCCACAGACAGTTTGTAGCATCTCTTCCATCTTTTTCAATTACTTTTCATGGTGAGATAACTTTTTTAATTGTGATAAAATGCACATAATATAAAATCCACCATTTCAACCATTTTAAAATACTTAGTTTTGTGGCATTTATATATTCACACTATTGTTGAACTATTACCTCTATCTGATTCTGGAACATTCCCATCAGCCCAAAGGGAAACTCTGTATGCATTAGTAACCACTCCCCATGACTCCATCCCCCAGTCCTTTCTATCTCTGTGGTTGTACATATTTTGGGTATTGCATATAAGTGGACTCACAATATTTGTCCTTTTGTGTCTGGCTCCTTCCACTCAGCATACTGTTTTCAGAGTTCACCCACGTTGTAGTATGTGACAGTACTCCAGTCCATTTTATTGTTAAAGAATACCTGCTAACCCTTGAATGAGTTTAAACTGTGAGAGTCCACTTACATGCAGATTTTTTCAATAATTACATTGGAAAGCTTTTTGGAGATTATCAGTGCATGAGTCATTATGGATGAGTAAATACGGGTTTATTTTTCACATTATCTTTCATTCTGATGTCTAGTGTTAGTAAAGCATATAACAGTTACAGTGTTTATATCCTATCAGGCAGTATTGATAAAGTTGCTGATAAAGATGATTCATCTTGTAAATAGATTATGTAAACTTAGGGTATCGATAAACACAGTTAAGTACTATATGATTTTAATAACATCATCTCTTATTTTGTTACAATACAATATATAACACACAGGAATACAGGGTGTGTGTTCATCAATTGTTTATGTTATCAGTAAGGCTTCCAGTCAATATCAGGCAATTCATAGTTATGTTTTGTGGGAGTCAAAAATCATACCCAAATTTTTGAATCCTCTAGGGTAGTTGGGGTGTCAGCACCCCAACCCCCATGTTGTTCAACCGTGTTTTGTTATGTAGGCATACCACATTGTACCTACCCACTGGGAGGTAACATTTAAAGACCATGTACACTGTGTCAACATAGTCCTCACACTCAATGAGAGAAAAATTAAAACAGCAATAAAAAATATAGCTTTGATCTTCACAAGGAAAAAGAAATTCAGAGTTCTCTTACAGGAGCATAGACTGCAGCTTCTCTGTCTTCCAGAGTATAACAGAATAGAGGTCGCACTGTGCTTGGGCCAGATGGCCCATGCTGAGCCCTGATTCTGCTCCCAAACAATTCTGGGAACCTTGCTGAGGCTGTTCATCTACAAAACAGGGGAGATAATAATACCTGCTCTTTTGTATTCGTTCAAAATTGTCAGAGGTTGAAATAACAAACTATTTATCAATATCCTCATGTATTTTAAAATGACACACGCGGTAAGTCTCTAAGATAGTCCTAAAAATATTCACACAGTATCTGCAATTACATGTTAATACACAGGAATACACAAATTATTTTAAGAAGTATTCTCAACATTGATAATTTTAAAAAAATGAGTTTCTGGTTAGACTCGCTATCTACTTGATTAAGCCCAATGAACAGATAAGTCCATTTTATTAGAACACTTACTTCTAATCATTGCAGTAAATATGAATGTATTATTGTTCCGAATATTAATGTTCCGAATCAGCTTGCCATGTCCACCCACCAGTGGGCACTGCGCCCTGAGTATCTTTGCATATTAGCTTCAGCTGGAACATTTTCTGCCAGGAATTCTCGTAAGCCAGACTTTGTCTCATTTTGCGTAGTTGGTACTCACACACATCTGGAAGGCTGGAATGAGGGACACCTCCTCGGGAGCTCAGAGAGGAAGAGGAGCAGGGAAGCGTGCGGGGCTCTGGGAGTGAGAGCTGAGGGCCAGAGCAGGAAGTGATGCCGAAGCACAAATCTCTGAAGACCTTGCTCTGCTTACAGTTTTGGGCCCGGCTCTGGGGGGGTAGAGGGAGGTGGAATAGTTAAAATTGCTGACTGAATTAAATCTGTGGGTTTTCTCTGTCTAGCCTTCTGGGGCCAACTCTACATCAATAGTGTTCGGGTTTTATAATTTGCAAGGTGCCACCGGATATCCCCACTGGCATCTACTAAATGGCAATGTTTAGGTCTCTTTGTTTTGGTCACTTTGCAGAGCAGTCTGCTGATGGTGAGTTCTTGAGTAGACCCCACAGGGGGTAGCAGACCAGCCGGCACATGAGTCTTCAGGGTGTCAAGGCCGGGGGTGTTTGGAAAGACATTGAGTAGAAGGGTAGGATGGGAGGTGGAGATCCAGAAGGCTGCCGTGGGGCATGTCAGGTCACAGCCCAGGGTGAGCACTCGTTGGCTGCTCAGTATTGCTCACAAGCCCTCTCCTTGCTTCTTCTCTCTAAAGGTTCTAAAGGAACCAACAAAGAAGGTGGAGGCCCTGCAAATTCCCGAGGTGGGAGCACGCCCCCAGCCCTGGGGGATCTGTTTGCCGGTGGCTTTCCTGTGCTGCGACCAGCTGGCCAGAGGGATGCAGCAGGTAAGGAAGCATTTAGACTGGCTGCCTTGTGAGCCTCTTAACTTTAGAACCAACTGTGTGATCCTCACATGCCAGTAGGACATGTTCTTAGTGAACAATCATGTAGTAGAGAATCACATATTTAAGAGCCTGACTACTGGGGAGTTCCGAAACACAAAATTGTTCTCATGGGGTCTTTTAAGTCATCATTCTATTTAAGTCATTCTTTTGTATTGATAGTAACCTAAGAATGATTTGCCATAGCATGTAGTGTCTAGCAGTGGTCTATTCACAGCTCAAACTGCAAAGTATAGACAGAGGCATAAATCATAATAGTAGATTTTAGTGATATCACACACTGGCAATGTGTGGATTGTAATTGTTCTCAGCCATCATATCAGGTAGGTACAGCCGTGTAACCAAACACCCTAAGACATAGGAGGTTCAGATAACATTTATTTAGCTTATAATTCTCTGGGTTGGCAGTTTAAGGTAATCTGATCTGGACTTCCTCTAGTACCCACAGGGTGGTAGGTGGCATTGCTGATGCTATCTTTCTCAAATCTCTGGGGCCTCAGCTGGGGCAACTGACTTGACAGAGCCATAGGGTCCCTCAAAATCTAGCAGATTCTTCAGGTTTTTTCTCATGGCAGTGGCAGGGTTCCGGCAGAGAGGACAGAAGTATATAAAGTCTCTTGAGACTTAATCTTAGAATTGGCAATTATTACTTCCTCCCACATCCTTCTGTCCAAAACAAGTCACGAGGCCAATCCAGAAACAAGGTTGGGGACAGATTTCACCTCTGGTGCAGTATGGAATCAGGAATAAGTAGATAATCGAGGCTATTTTTGCAACTCTACCACAGTCACTTGTGTTTTAGTAGGTGCTAGATATTTTGAAAGCATTGCATTAAAATTAGGCAAATATATATTTATTGTTTGCTGGAAAGTGTTATTCCTATTACTATGCTCTTTAGCCAGCAAGCTGAATAAACTCCAGAAATTTCACTACCCCAGAGAATATCAACCCCCAAACATTCCAGTTATAGAATCTTCTACCATGGGATTTTGCTGCCCTTCTCAATGGTTTCTTTGACTGTGACATGATGGGATACATTTTCTGCTGTTACCTACTGATAAAGTCCAGTAAAGATAGGGGTTCTAGAATGCTTTGAGATCTAGCTTGCACCTTCTCAGAGGCCATTGTCATGTCCTTGTTTTTTTTCCTGAAGTTTTGTCAGGAAAGACAGTGCTGAGTTCTTTCTTAATAATGAGAGCTGGTATTTGTTCAGCTCCTTCTTCAGAATTCCTTAGTGGTATCAAAGAAACATCGTTGGAGATATAAAACTTCCACTAGCTTCTCTTCACAGAAATAAGGATAGGAGAGATAATCTTCAGTCAGGTTTTAATGACAACTAGCTAAAGTTAGTCATCAGTATTCTTACTGGTCTCCAGTAGGACAATGTCAGATGTTTGTGAAGACAAGAATTGGTCCCTTTAGAGGGGATCAGATTCCATGTGGAAGTGACTAATAAGGGCTGTCACAGGATAGAAACTCAACACGGGAGTAAGACCACAGCTCCCCTCTTGCAGAGCTCTCCCATCCACCCCCTTGTTATTTATTTATTTATTTTTAAAGATTTATTTATTTATACAAGCACTGGGTACAGTCAGAAGTGTGGGAGGGTGAGAGAATTCACCAGAGCCAGAGCAGAGAGCAGAACAGGCAGACTGACGAAGTACACTGCTGAGGGGAGCAGCGGGCGGCAGGAGAGGTCTGTGCGCCATGTGAGACCCTCGCCGGCGGCCGGGGATCGAACTGACGCTGCAGAGGCTGCAGGCAGCATCGCAGCCCAGCGCTTAACCGCTGCGCCACCAGGGGAGGCCCCCCCTTGTTATTTAGAGAAAGGACACCTGTTGGCTCACACCCTCTGTTCTGGCCATGCTGCTGTCCTTGTTCTTACACCCATCAGGCAAGTGGTAGCCATAGGGCCTTTACTGACTGCTCCCTTGGACTAAACACTCTTCCCTCAGGTGTCCACCTGGCTCCCTCTCTCCTTTCCCTCAGGTCCCTGCTCAAGTAGCACCTGGTGAACCTATCAGTGAGGATTTACTCATCACCCCACACAAAATATAAGTTCCACTCCTCACTCCATATCCCCTCTACCTCCATTTAGCATTTTTGCCATCTGGCATATTACATACTTATTGTCTGTCATTACATACTGTCATTACATACTTATTGTCAGTTTATTGTCTGTCCACTTCATCCAAATATCAGCTCCATGAAAGCAGGAACTGTGTCTTGTCCACTGCCTTAAAAATACCTGTCACATAGTAGATGCTAAGTTAACATCTATGAGTAGAAGGTGTTTATGGGCAATATGGTTGCTTGAGCCATTTAGCACAGAAAGCACTAGCTCTGTTGCTCACAATACTTTTAGGGGCCCATGAAAATGTTTAAATTTCTTTTAAGTTCAGGGGAAAAACCCATGCATTTTTAGAGTCAAAGAATATATTTGTCCTTATACAAAGGCACTCATAAAATTTATTTTTAAATGATTTTTTAAGGAGGAAGAAGCCCACAAAAGCCAAAGTGCCCTGGGTCTTTAAAAAAAAAGAAAGAAAGAAAGAAAGAAAGATATAATGAGGCTTTGGTGCAGAGGTCCAAAGTGATGATCCTTAACATAATATGACTGGTAGATGCTGCCAGTTATTAGAAAATGTATGAGGAGACTGCCATGCAATTCATGGTCCTTTAGAAACATAAACAGATGGAGGGAAGAAGAGACATTTTAGGTGTTGATAACCCGTAGGCCCTAGAGTGGATTCCTTTCACATCAGCAATCCTCCTTGATAACCTGAGCTGGCCTCTCTCCACCCACTTCATGGCTTCCTTTTTCTTCTAGTTGAATTTCTAGGCTTAGCACTTTTGTTATGAAGGAAAGCCTCCTCCCTTTCTTCCTTCCCAGGGCACTCACTCTGGGCTTTCTGTGCCTGCCTGTTGGCCTGCCTGCATTCACACCACCAGCTCCTCTGTCTGTGGGTCCCGCCTTTAACACATGCTGCCAGCTCTCTGCTTCATCTCCTATTGGGCATGACCATAAGTCGTATGAGGTCTCCTGCCATCCATGCCCCTGTGCTCATATATTATGATCAAAATGGGTTTGCCCATTTCTCCTTCAGTTGGTGGTTAGCAAGCAGCGCCTTCTTTAATGGAGTCACTTTAAGGGTTTTGAATCTGCATACATGGTTTATTCCCAGTTAGGATTATAAAGTTAGGATTGGTGATTCACTGTCAATTTCTGTCTCTTTAAAGTACATGTAGTAACTGGGCAAATAGGTAGGCCTCTCCTTGTTTAGGGAGCTGCCTGGGTACCCCATCTTCATCTGTGTGCACTATGGGGACATGTGCGAAGACATGTAGGCAAGAGTCCTTGTGCCTGACCTAAATATCCTGTAAAATATCTAATGTTGGAGTTGCAGGTGGTAGATCCTGCCACTGGAAAGGCAGGTGGAGGCCTTCCAGTCCTGCTCATGTTCAGCCAGCTGCTTTGGCAGCGGCTGTTTTTGACACCCATGGGGATCAGGTGAGCAGGGAGGTGTGTATAGAATTATCTTCTAGAACCACCTCAAAGACAATCATCAACAGAAGAACAGCACCACCCCTGCCCTGCCTTGAGAATAGACAGTCCTAGCTGAGACTTTAAGGAGTCATGTGATCTGAGTGACTGACATCAGAGCAAGAGGAGGGTCACCCACTTGGACAGTCAGATGCCACAGTCCTGCCTATTCACTTTCAGCCCTAGTTTCCTCTCTGCCCCCCCCCCACCCCTTGCTTTGAATGGCCTTGCTTTGGGCATCAAGTACTTTAGGGTACAGTTTAGCACCTGGTTGGGTAGACACCCTGCAGACTCAGCACTCAGAAAGCTCAGAACCTCTAACAGATGCTGCAGTTCATGAGCTGGGCTTGTCTTGGAGGAGGATAGTATGGTTAATGCTGCAGGGACCTTGGGGCTGGTCCAGTGAGCCCTCTCATGTGATGGCCCGAGACTTCTCAGTGGACATACATCCCGACATGCAGTTTACTGGCACCAACTTAAGAGCCTGGGATGGTTGTTGCTTCCCACAGGGCTTTTCCTTTCTCTATGGCTGACTAAATCAGAACTATCTTCCTTCCAGGTGGCAAGACAGGGCAGGCCCCTGGCTCCCGAGCACCTTCTCCCCGGCTTCCCATCAAAGCCATCGGCGGCCCGCTCAATGCCCCTGCATCTCCCAGACTAGGCAATGCCCCCGAAGTGGCACATGGCGCCGGCAGGACAATCCCTCCTCGCCCCAGCATGCCTGCTCCACCACCTCCCACCCCACCCCCACCGCCCCCACCCTTACCCCCAACCCTGCCCTCGCCATCCCCTCTAAAATCTCCCCTGGTGTCCCCATCTGGCCCACCGACCAAAGGGACTCCCCCAGTGGTCGCACCACCTCTCCCCAGTGTACCTCCCCCACCTCCTCCTCCACCACCACCACCTCCCTCAACCCCAGCCCCACCACCCCCAACCTCTCTTCTCAGTGACAAGGCAGCGAAACCCCAGCTAGCCCCCTTGCACCTGCCGCCCATCCCACCTCCACTCCCCCTTCTGCCACCTTGTGGGTATCCGGGGCTCAACTCAGATTCTGCCAGCCCTAACCAAGATGTCCGGGAGCCTCCCGCCCCACCGCCTCCACCACCCCCACCACCTCCTCTCCCCCTTTATGCCTCATGCACCCCAAGATCCTCTGTGGCTATGTCCCCGTTGTCAGGCTCTAACAACATCAATGAAGCCCCACCCCCACTACCCCCCAAGTCCCCCAACTTCCAGGTCCAGCCATTGAAGCCCAGTGGGCCGGCACCGCCTGCACCCCCTGGATCTCAGGTGTTCCTGCAGAAGAAGCGTCCTGGCAGAGGCCCAGGTAAGCTCTGCCTTTGTGGCCCAGGTTGTCAATATCACAGGGTCATTTGACTGCTGCCTGCAGTTACGGGGGTGCTAGGGACACCATCAGCGACCTGCTGCTATGAGCCACTTGAGAACATCTTGGATTATCTCAAGCCTTGGATTTTGTTTTAGAACAGACCTAGTTGATACCCATTCTGGAACTTTGTTTGTATGGGACTTTATGTTGGAAGACAGAAAACCAAGGATAAAGGAGGATAGAAAATGTATCCAAGAGCATGCAAACCATAAACCAGGACTTCTGGCCTTGATCACTTTGCCTTTACTAGCTGTGTGACCCTAGGCAATCATTTAGCTTCTCTGTGCTTCCTTTTCCTCAGCTGTAAATTGCAGTAGCAGTTGTTCTGCCCTCGGGCACTCATTGGACTAGCCGGGCAACAGTGAGCTTTAGAGACAGCTATGTATTCTTACTATCATAGTGTGGACTCTATAGATCCCCTACTTCATCCAGATGTTGGAGACTCTGGATGCTGTTTGTTTCCAGAAATGTGTCTCCTGTTTAATTTTTGCCAATGTTGTTCCAGTCTAGCTCTCAGTAACTGGGCCTCAGTAGCTTGGATTAGCATTCTGCCTTATTTTTGGCACGTTCTCAAGCTGACTCAAGAAGACTGAGGGTCTATATTTTGAGCCAAATATTAAAAATGATTCCTTTACCTATCCAGCAGAGGTGATTTGGGATTGAGTATTTATTCCCTGTGACACTGATTTCTGTGTAGTGGTGAGCCTTCTTTCGCCTTCAGTGCATTTCTAAATGGAAAGTACAATCACACACACACACACATTCATTCATGAATGTAAACACACTCAAACATATGTACGCACATTAACACCCACATCTATATACATACCCAAACACACACACACACACACTTACTCCTTGGTGTTTCAGAAACACTTTCAATACAGAAAGGTTCTTAAATGTGTTTCCTTGAATAAAAATAATACGAGCTCATTGCTGAGCAAATAGGAGAATTGGCATAGAAATCACCCATAATAATGTCACCCAGAAATAAAGAGTGCCATCCTTGGACATGTTGCTTTTCATTTTTACCCCTAGAATGTTGCTACAGGTTTACATGTTTAATACTATTTTGTATATACTATTTTTTGTTTTTTTTTTTTACTTACTATAATAGTAAAATTGATTTTATCAAATCTTAAAATATGTTTTAGGCAAATTATATATTGATAGTTTTGCATATATTTTATAAGCAGCTTATTATACACTATAGTTACATATCTCTAGTGTTAGATATTTATTTCTTTTGAACTTATTACAAATAATATTTACAAATAACATTTTATAAACTATGTTCAGTCTATTTCTTTAGATATATATTTTTTAAAGATAGGTTCCTTAGAGGAAATTCCTAGTTCAAAGGGCAAGAATATTTTAAAGGCACTTGGTCACAAGAAATAAGGTTTCACTCATTCTCTTTTCAGCTGTGTGGTCACCATGTGAACCAGCCCTAGCACTAGTGAGCCTCTTCTGGCTCGTGATTCTTAAGTATTCGTGGTGAAATGTCCATGCACCCGGGCTCAGCATGGTTATTTCCTTTCCTCTTCCTTGTCAAGTGGCAGAACCGCTCTTCATTTAGAGGAGGGGTCAGCAGCCCCCTGAGCTCCTTGAATCTGCTGCTAGGAGCAGGTAAATCCCCAGTGAGCCTTGGTAGGGAGGAACAGGAGACCAGAAGGCACAGAAAGGAGGCTGGGAAAGGAGAAGGGAAGATGGCAGGAGCTGCAGGGAGTGGGGAGCTCCAATGGTAGGGGTGATAGAGAAGTAGCTGGCTGCCTCACCTGCCCCCCAGCAGTAAACTCAAGGCCAGGAACCAAGGCTTGCTTGTCTGGCCTCTATCATTGTGTCTTTGCACATGTATCTTTGTTTTTCCATATATAAAATGAGAGTAATTTCTGCTTCAGGCCAACTGTGGGGGGAAGGAGCAAATGGTTGTAACTGTGAACATCTTAACAAGATAATAGAGGTGCAATTGTCATCATTTAAGAAGGGGGTATAGAGTAGGATGCCTGCATTGATGTGCCAAAACAGTGGGTTATGAATTGCCAAATGAGTCACACAAAACAATATTGGCAAAGGACAGCATGAGCCTCCCACAGAGGTCACCAGGGAAGGATTGATAAAACAGGTGGGCTTTGAGTTGGGCCCGTTGTGTCGGGAACATTAAGAATGACTGAAGGAGAAAAGAGAGAGCTGCAACACAGGGGTAGCAGTGTGAGCAGAAACATGGGGGCAGGAGCAAGCCCTCGGCAGGCTGCTCACCTGCCCTCCCTCCGAGCCTCCCTCCAGATGGCTCCGCCCTCTCTTAGGGCCCTGCTGCCATTCTGCTTTTTGGGGCTGATGATGTGGTTGCCATCATCATTAATATTATTACAGCTGCTCACATTTATTGAGTCATTTAAGTTCCTGCCACCTGACTTAAATCAACTCACTAAGCCTTCTCAGCAGCCCTAGGAGGTGTGCATATTATTATTATTCCCATTTTACAGATGAGGAAACTGAAGCACAAAGAGCTAGTGCTGTTATCCCAGCAAGAGAGCTGGATTCCATGCCAAGCAGGTTGGCTCCAGAGACTGGCTGCCCATTCACTTCCTGTGTCATATTATATGCAAAGATCTCATCAACTCCCCTCTCACAGAAGGGAGTGTCCCCATTCCTGTGCCTGAATACACTATCATCTTCTCTGTAAGGCACCAGTGGGGGGAAGCTAAATCCTCCCCCAGCACCTCCTGCGAGATCACCCACCACAGAGCTTTCAAGCAAGAGCCAGCAGGCCCCCGCCTGGACCCCAACACAGCAGCTGGGAGGTCAGCTTCGAAATGGAAGCCTGAACATCATGGGTAAGTGGTAAGCGGGGCCCACCGATTTGGTGCTGGCTGCCGGCAAAGAAGTGGTTTTCCCTAGCCTCTGAGGGGTTTGCCAGCCCCATAATGCTGTCATTGCCTGTGCAGAACAACTACAGTTTGGGTTAAATAGGGTTCCTCCCAAGACTTTCTGGAGGATTCTAGAACCTAGACTCCAATCTTCTGATTGAGATTAGAGAAAGGGAAGAAAGACAGCATTTAGACTGTGTGGGCTAAATGGTTGTCAGGCTTTTCTGCCCTCCCACCATTAGGATTGATGATGGATCTGCGGTCCTGCATGCATGCCTGATGGCGGGCACCTGGAGTAGGGTGTGGGCATGCGTAAGTGGGTCTGAGGATGGGCTTATAGGGGCGGCATCACGGGGACACCAGCAGAGCCAAAGAGCAGAGCCATGAGAAGGAGAACAGTTTGAGAGCAGCACCATCAGAGAAGCAGAGACCACGATAACAGCGGAGAGCCCAGGAAGAATGAAGATTTACCAGGGGCCGGCACCCCTGCCTGCCGTGTACCTGGTAAATCCCAATTAAAGCCTGAAAAAGCCACTGAGGGCTCCAGGACTCCTCCTTCATCTGTCTGTTCGATCATAGAAAACCTTCTCTGTGCCTGTCCTGCCATTACAGACTGGATGTGTATGTGTCTGTCTGTCTCCATGGAGAAACCCATGGACAAGCATGAAGCACTAGAGTGACAAGGTGAAAGGACGATGGACGGCCCACCAGCCAGGGGAACAGGGCAAAAATATGGAAATAGGAAGGAAAGTCACTTGGGGTCAGATGTGACCACAAAATCTTTGGATTCCTCCAGGTGCTGAGCTACTAGCCCAGATCCCAAAGCAGGGAATCAGCTCATGAGAGGGTCACAATACCTCTCTCCACTTGGCATCTGGCACTCAAGGTAGAATCTGTTTTGAGGAGCCCAGGTCCCCAGCTGGATACAGCCATGCTCTTCAGCCAAGCTGAGGACTCCTGTTCTGCCCACTCCTCCCAGTAAAACCCTCTCCAGGAGCTGGGGGGGATAAGGAGGGGGAGCTTTAGGCCATGGGACTTTGCTGGCTCTTTGTTGCTGCCAGGTGGCTTCCTGAGTATGGAGTCTGGATGCCCCTGTGACACTCCTGCTACCTTGAGGAGCTTCCTTAGAATGTTAGTTGACATGAGCTGGGGAGGATCTGTTGATTCCCTTTCCTGATAGGCCTTGTCCCAGCTGCACAGTACAAATTGAGAGGTGGATGGGAGTCTTAGGGAGAACAGCCCTGCCATTCAAACCCTTGCGGTTGCCAGCAAATAGAAAACAGTGTATTCAGCTGGAGCAACCTGTGTGCTCCTGGAAGTTATCAAAACTTCGGTCATTACTGTAACCAGATTAACTTTGCCATTTCCCTTGTGTGCAGATGACTTTGAGTCTAAATTCACCTTCCATTCTGTGGAAGACTTTCCTCCTCCCGATGAATATAAACCATGCCAGAAGATTTACCCCAGCAAGATCCCCAGAAGTAAGTATCACTTTGGTAAGACCCTGGGTTTTCCCTGAGTCTCTGGAATGTATGCTCAGGGTGCACTGACTGCATAGTTTGTCTAAAGAACGGTGTCATGATTTCACTGTATTCCTGCAAGGATGCAGTACTGTTCATATTTCTAGAAGTTGCAGAACATTTATTTATCCCAATTCAATCCAAGGGTTCATTTATAGGATTTTTATCAAACACCAGGGTTAATTATTTGGCATAAAACAAAATTTGGATGCCTGAATTTACCACTCATATCTCTGCTCCCTGGAGCTTTTTACAAGGGAGCCAAACACCCCAAGATAAGAAAAATGGAATTCAAGAGCCTTGCATTAATATGTAGGGAAGAAGCTGAACACCGCCCCCCTAATTCAGAACTGCTGCAGTATGTGAAAGAGAGAATACCTTAGGTAAGTGGTTCTTGACCTTGGCTATACAATAGAATGTCCTAGAGCTTTAAAGCCCAAAGGTCAGGCTGCACCTAAAGCAACAAAATCAGAATATCCAGTTGGGACCCAGGTGTCAGTACTTTTGAAAATTGCCTGGTAATTCCAATGTTCAGCCAAGGTTAAGAACCTCACATTAGTGGCAATGCCCCACCTCTTGATTGCATTGTGCAGCTAGGCTCCAGGAGAAGCCTCATGTTAGCTTACCTATTTAGTCCTAAGAGTGGAAGAGGAAGAGAGGGCTGGCCTGCTCCTTCAAGTCCAAAGGGCAGAGAGCCAAGTACCTCAGGAACACAGAAAGCAAAGCAAAGTGAGGTGGGCTCTTGGCTGCACAGCGATGCTGTCTGTTAGTTGACATGAGTCAGTTCTTAGCCAGTACTGAGCCAGTCTGACTGGGGAGGAGCTGCTAACAGGTAGCAGAGTAATAGGGATTGAAGGTCAGATATGGTTTCCCACCCTACAACCTGAGTAAGGTCCCAATCCCAGATGTCTGTGGACCAGCATGGAAAATCACCAGGGCACAGGGTTAGCCATAGACCAAGAACTGGGCTTTTTGACCCTCTCCTTTCAGGATCTTGTGACGACGTCTCTGCTCAGGTCACAGGCCTCCGGGAATCCGCCTGGGCAGATCGTTTTCTGCTGGACTGTGGGGTTGCACCTTTAGAGCGAAGTGACCTTGTATGCTTTTTTAATAATATGTAAATATTACTTATTTGAATTGGAGGGCAATCAGGCCCACCACCAAAACCCGTACAGTAAGTAAACTTGCCGGACATCCTTGCAAGTGCTGGCACGGCTCTAGGTTCTGTGCGTGCCTCACCAAAGTCTTTTAACACAACAAATTTACACAGGGGAAAAGTGGTCCAGAGAGGCCAAGTAACTTACCCAAGGTCTCACAACAAGACACAGGAAGAGCCAGGAATTTGTAATTCAGATGTGTCTAGACCAGACCCAACACTGCTCCCACTCACCATGTGAGCCCTGAGGAATGTGATTAGATCTAGGTTGAGACAGAAAACTGGTGGCTTGAGTAGAGAAGGTAGAGACCAAGTCAAGAAGGAAGCAGGGTGGATGGAAGTGAGAATGTCCAAGGTTTGGGGATACAGGCCATGAGAGGAACAAGGGAAGTCGAGGAGCAGAGGATTCCCCAAGTCTCTTCCTTGGGCGTGGTTCCTTGATGTAGAGCCAAGAAGGAGCAAGAGGAGCAAGAGGGGACTGTTTTTAGGAGGTGGTGGTTTATCTATCAGTCATGGTAAGAGAGGCACCTGGAGGACTGCATGGAGGAGATGTCCTGGGGCAGATGGAACAGCAAGTATACAAGTCTGGGACTGAGATACAAGGTCAGGAGTGGCAACTGGATTTGCTAGTTATTATTTTGGAGATGGAACTAAAGATCAGAGCAGGGCCAATTGGGGCGAGTGACAGAACACTGTCCACTGTGCTCAGGAATCTAAAAACTGTTAGTGAACAGGGTCAGCTGGGTACCTCCCAACACCCAGGACCCTGGAGGCATTTAGCAAATTGATCCTTGTGACAGACAGCTTGGGGGATTAAGGAATTCCTTGTGCTGTACTCTCACCATTATATATCAAGAAAATATTGCCTATTTTTCTTTTATTCCCTTCAGCTTGTTTGTGGTGTTGAGATACACAGTTACGCAGGCTCGTTTCCTTCCCAAAGCCTGGGCTTGCTAACTGGCCACTCTCATGCCAAAAACACCACTGCAACACGTGAAATGTCCACCTGCCCCCTGGGGCTTCTCAAATTGGTGACCCCACCCTGAGCCAAAGGGGTGGGCAAATGTTTACTCTCAAGGGCCGGAGAGGATGGATTTGAAACTGCAGGCCATATGGTATCTGTCACAACTACTCAGTTCTGCTGTTTTAACATGAAAGCAGCCATAAATAACACATCACCAAATGGGCAGGCTGTCTTCCAGTAAAACTTTATTTACAATAGCAGGTGCTGGCTGGATTTGGCCATTCAAAAAGAGCCAATTCTTAAAAACCTCTTTCTGTTACATTTCTTTCTCAGATTGTGCTACAGAGTCCTTCAGGCTTCAGACCCAGTAAATTCTACTCTCTGGCTAGCTGTGTTTTGAATCCCGGTGCCCAGTCTCATTCCTGCAATAAGGAAACCTCTCTATCCGGCTCCCCAGCTGATTGCTCTAAGCAGTTTCTGCTGCGTGCCCCTCCTCTTGGAGAAATGCCTAAATACCTCCTCAGTGCCTCCACCAAGAAATAATCCCTGATGCTTGTGAAGGAGTAAAAGAAAAAAAAAATTATTAATGAACAGACATCCTACAGACCAGGAAGGGCATTGGCAGTTTCAAAATGAAGACAGGGTTTTGATTGCTGTGGCATCAGTGAATATAAAATACTTCAATAACCTCCTGTACAATTAAATTAGCATGTTCCCTGTTAGCCATCCCTGGTAGCCGGAGTGGAGAACCTTGTTAATTATATTAGTGATTCTCACAGGGTCATGCCTGTCAGGTTACATATCTACTTACAGTTTCCCCTGCTCGTGGTTGACCTGGCTGGGTTCAAGGTCTGGACACACTGCTGGTTCTGTCAGGTGACAGTGTCCTCACGCCCTGTGCTAGCAGTTCTGTCTCTCTCTCCCTTCTCTTGTTTTCTCTCTCCTTCCATGTACGCAGATACCCTAATGTGTTACTCTCCTATTTGCCTTGTCTCTACACTGCAGGTATTAGCCATTTTCTTTCTTTGGTAGGATGATTTTATCTAGTTCTTAAAATGTTTTTAAAGGCATCACGTTCCTCAATAAGTGAAACATAGAATTACTATATGACCCGTAAATTCCACTCTTGGGGGTATACCCCAAAGAATTGATAACAGGCACTCAAATGAAAACTCACCCATTTTCACAGTGCTCTATTCATAATGGCTGAAAGGTGGAAACAATCCAAATGTCCATTAGCAGGTGAATGGACAAACAGCATGTGGTGTATCCGTACAATGGAATATTACTCAGCCATAGAAAGTAATGAAGTACTGAGGCGTGCTGCAGCTGGCATGAACCCTGAAAACATTGTGCTGAGAGACACAGAAGGCTACATATTCCATGATTCCGTGTACATGAACTATCCAGAACAGGTCAAGCCAGAGAGACAGAATATAGACTTAACAGTGGCCAAAGGCTGGGGTAAGAACAGGAGTGACTGCTGTGGATACAGGTTTCCTTTTGGGGTGATGAAATGTTATGGAACTAGACAGTGATAATGGTTCCCCAACATTGTGAATGTACTAAATGTCATCAGTGCTAATTTTTATGATATGTGCATTTACCACAATAAAAAGGAAGTTTTTTTTTTTTTAAAGATTTATTTATTTATACAAGCACTGGGTACAGTCAGAAGTGCGGGAGGGTGAGAGAATTCACCAGAGCCAGAGCGGGGAGCAGAGCAGGCAGAAGGACCGAATTACACTGCTGAGGGGAGCAGCGGGCGGCAGGAGAGGTCTGCGCACCATGCGGGACCCTCCTTCGGTGGCTGGGGAGCAGCCGAGGATCGAACTAGAGCCGCGGAGGCTTCAGGCAGCTTCGCAACCCAGCGCTCAACCGCTGAGCCACCGGGGAGGCCCAAAAAAGGAAGTTTTTAAAACCCCTATCTGTAGGAATCTTTGGAGAGAATGCAGGGGTCACAAATACTTTTTAGCATCCTGATGCCAGAAAGAATGAAGTCATTATCATATTGTCAGATACTTATTTGGGCCCTTAGTCACTGAAGAGATTTAGATAAAGGAGTCCCATGACATCCCTTCAGATATTTGCATTTTGGTGGAAGAAAGTAGGAGAGACAGAAACCCAGCAAAACCATCCTTATCATCTTAGTTCAGTGGGAAATTGGCTGGTTAGAACTTTGATTGTGTTTATATCCCAACTCATCTTTTTTTTTTTTTTTGTGGTTAAAAGAATACATGACATGAATTTATCATCTTAACCATTTTTAAGTCTGCAGCTCAGTAGTGCTAAGTAGATTCACATTGTGATGCAATCAATCTTGAAAATACTTTTCCCCTTGCAAAATTAACACTACATTCACACAACAATAACTCTCTCCCCTCTACACTGCAGCCCCTGGCCACCACCATTCTGTTTCCTATATGAGTTTCACTCTTCTTGGTACCTCATGTAAGTGGAATCACATACAATTTGACTTTTTGAACTTAATGGTGCATTTCACTAAGTTAATCTATGTTGTAGCATTTTCCTTCTTTTTTTAAGTATGAATATTTATTATATCTGTATATCACATCTAGTTATCTGTCCATCAGTGGACACTTGGGTTGCTTCAACCTTCTGGCAATTGTGAGTACTGCTGCTGTGAGCGTGAGTTCATAGCAAGTATCTCTTTGAGACCCTCTTTTCAGTAATTTTATGTCTATACCCAGAAGTAGAATGGCTGGATCACATAGTAACATTATATTTTTAATGTCTAAGTAACCATACAATTTTCTAGTTCTACCATTTCCATTCCCATCAACCATGCACAGGGGTTCTAGTTTCCCTACATCCTTGCCA